GATAATAATTTACCGTCAGAGCGGGGAAAACACAGTCCGTGATTGGGGGTCCGGGATGGTCGATAAGGGGATCCAGGGGCGGGTTTGGGTATCGATTTTGTCATTGGATCACGCGGACAACGTAGTGTAAATATTATTTTAAAGTTAATCCAAAGCAAATACAACCGAATTAAGGTTAAACAAATTTTATTTCAATAGTTACAAAAAAAAGAAAATCATCAAAATCATACATAAGAAAACAACACTATCGAATTTCATTTTTCGTGGTCTTTATATAGATAAAATAAATAATAAAAAAAAGAATGTTAATAATCCAGGCCCATCTCGAAAACTGGTTAGATCCAGTTTTGAGGATGAAATCAAAGCAAGCTTGGTATACGTGAACAAAGAAAAAAAAATATACATGATAATGAGAAAAACGCATCACTTCTAATTGAACAAAAAAAACAAAAATATAAATGGTAATATAAAAACATATCACTAGAACAAAGACATAATAACTATTATAAACTAGTTAAAACACAACAGTACTATTTACGTAAAAGTAGAAAATATGAAAACGGGATATTTAGCAAACGATTTGACATTAAATACAGAGGTGTTGCTAGCCTGCTATAAAGACTAAAGTACCCTCTTTTAAAAATTACCACCAATTTTAAAAGTGGTTTAGTATCCTATTTTTTAAAAAATTAGCACCCATTTTTAAGTAATTAGCAGCCATTTATAATTAATCAGCACCTGTTTAAAAAAATGCATTAATATATAATTTAAATTGCTTTTAAATTTTAGTGCTTATTTTAATAAATATTATTTTCCTTATAGGATTAAGTAATTTTATTAATATAAATTATAATTTCCTCCATTCCCCCGGCAAAAACAAAATGATGAAAAGAATCACAATATGTTATTATATGAAATAAAAGGCATATAATTATTTTATAAATCATTGTTTTATTAGATAATCCTACACATCAAGATAAAACCTAATAATTGGAATATGTTAAGTTTGTCTAAATTTAATATACATTCATTTTCACTCTGATTTATACAAAAAGCTATGCTTATTTTCCAATTAATACTCCATCTAATAGCGAAAAAAATAACAAAATCAAAGGGCAAACTTGGAAAAATATTTTAATTTCTTTGATCATATAAAATATAAATCTTAGATAAAGCTATTATAGATGATGGCTATTTAAGAATATTTTGGTTATAAGAGTAAAGCATTAAGTTAGATTTTACATTTGTATTAGATATTATTTTGACAATATACGTTTATATTATTGAAAAGGCGTGTGGAACACTTGATTATAAAATAAAAAATGTTCACTTTATATATATTTCCTATGGTTTATATATCTTTTTTATATCTAAAAATTAGAATATAAAATCAAAAGGATAAGTTATAAAACGAAAAGTAAAATAAAGGTATAATTGTACAATTTAAATAAGTTAAATATATCAGAATATTAAAGTAAAGATAATTGCGTGGTATAAAATTTAAACATATTGCTATATATAATATTTAAATTTATTATATAACAATTATAAATAATTATAGTATATAAATTATAAAAATAATTCACCAGAAGATAAGGCTAACGGGCCGAAGACCCTCAAAGTGGAGCACTTTTAAAGATATAAATTATCATTTATTAGCACCACATTTTGTAAAAAGTTATAAAGTCTCTGATTAGGTGAAGAATAAATGCTCTATTCTTCAAAATAATTCATAGAGTTTGGGCTAAAGTAAACTACTAATTCTCAAAAAATAGGTGAAACAAGGTAGTGGGCATATAAAAAATCCCTTAAATGGCTATATGGTGAAGCGAGCTTACTCCCATTTGTTATAAGTGCCCTACTATATATATTTTATAATAAATTGTTTGAAACGCAAACATCTGCAATAGCTGAATCTTTGACTAATAATTTTTACAAATTTGGAATGATAAATCAGCTGATATTTTTTTTAGAAATTTTGAAATAAGGGACAGTTTTCATTACATCATCAAACTAAATATTTACATTAATAAGCTTGTAAAATGATCGAAGATGCCAAGTCTTCTATATCTTTTATAACATTCACATCCAATCAAAATAAAGTTATAAAATGGCAACAAATTTATTGAAATGATTACTGATTAAAAGCTATAAGATAACATTTAGATATAAATTGAAATGACATAAAAATATAACAAGTCGATTAAGATGGATACACAGCAATGAATATAGAGTTGAACATCCGCAGATCCGAATGACCTCTAATACTATTGAAGTATTTTTTTATATAACTGATCAAATTATAAATAGTGACCGGGTTTTTGATAAATAAAAAGCTTATAGCGAATGTGCGATATTTGTATTCTAGTCATTATGATGCAATTAATATAAAAGGTATTTCGAAAAAGACCTTGAATAAAGTTTCACAATTAGAAAATATATTACAAATTACGTGTGAATTATTTTCATTTACCCTTAATTTACTAGATCTAAATGTCGGGTAAAATGAAAATATTGACTATATAATTTGTGATGGTGAGGAATCTAATAAACGAAAATGAAATGACACAATATAATATTAATTCCACAATTGCAATCAATAACAGGTGTTTATCCAAAGTAGGAGTACAATTTATTTACTGTTTAAATATTTTAATTTTCTTTTGATTGCTTTACACAGTTGGAACCTGAACAAGAACCTAAAAACCATTTCAAATTTTAACAACCGAACTAGAAATATTTTTTAGGAAATATTTAGAATCAGAAATCTTTTTAGTCCAGATTCCAAACTTTAATATTATATTTACTCAGATGAATCCTAAATGGATGTTCCTAAATCTTGGTGGAAATCAACTTTATTCTTACATAATTCCCTTTTTAAAACTAAATAACAATATAAATTTGTTACAGATACTTTTAAATAATAGATTCCGTATGGCCATTTAGAAACTCTCTTAAAATATCTTTCTTGCATAGGAATATTTTTATGATAGTAGATAAGTTAAATTTTACCCGTAATAATGAAAATATGACTTTGCGTAATACTTTGAAACCTATTTGTTTTATGGAATAAAGTGCCCTCGTTTATTTCGTAGAAAGTATCTAGAATTAAATTTGCCATAGAATATGCTATTCAAGTATTTGTAAACCTATAAGATTTAATTTTATTATTATTTTATAAACAATATATATCTTATACTAATAATAAATTGCTCGAAAGTATATAAATCACTTGCTTCATATGCTATAATGACATAATAGAATTTATGCTATCTTGTTCTTTCTTTCTATTATGCTAATAATATTAAACCCTCTCAATTAGCACGAGCTACTGTTTAAAAAACTTTAAATAAAAGTCTGACGGGTTTAAAAAAAATTTAATGGGCGGGTGTGTAAAAAAAATTTTGTTTTATTCCTCTGACATATTTTAAAAATAAATATTGATAATTATAATTATCAAAATTTTAAACGAAAACATTTAATCAATATTTGTATTTCATTATTTTGCAAAAATGATAGTTTATGTGATTACCCATAGCACATAGTTTCAATCATGTCTCTTGTTCATATCTGTTTTGTATTTTTTATATTTTTCTTCATAATAATTATATCTCCTCAGTCCTCACTTGACATGGGCATGCACAATCAAAAACAAGTGCACTCTTTATCTTTATAACAAGTGATTAATTTTTTTCATGGTAAGCTTTCATTTTTTATTTTCCTTGAAAAAATTATATACATTTTTTGGGAAAAGGGAAGTGTGTAGGGAAAAATTTTTAATAGCTTAAAATGATATTTAGGAGAACATATAAATTTCCAAAGGGGGATTTCCTCTTGCTTCCCTCACTACGCCTGTGCTTAATTATATTGGAAATTTATTTTTATTCTTTATCCAAATTAGATTATTGAATAAAATGTTTATCAACTGTTTGGTGAATATTTGTATTTTGAAATTCTTATGGGTGGAAATTAAGCGAGTAAAAACTATTTCGGGCTGACTGATGAATTTTTATTCACAATCATTTGAAAGAGGGCGGGTTAATTTTTTTTTAAAATAATAAGCGATGGGCGAGGAGGCAGGTTAAAAGATAATAAAACAATGTGCAGGCGAGCTAGTATTTGATTAAAATTCTTGCAATAATTTCCAACGATTTTGTTTTGAGAGAAGGAAAACTTTAATAACTTAAAAAATATTAATTTATAATACAGAATTATATAAACTATAAAAAATATAATTTTATTTATAAAGAGTGTTAACAAAAGGAATTTCTTATTAAAATTTCAAGTAAAATTTTACTGCGAGATTATCTCAGGGGTATTGCTGCACTTTGAATAGAAATTCCCATCTCTCTGAGTATGCTCTAAATGTGGGATTAAGTTCTCTCTTTATTATTTTTAAGGCAGAGAATCATTGATATGCAAAAAGGATCAAGATTTGAAATTTAAAAAAATGACCAAAAATAAGCTGCTGGTTCCCCATCCTACAAAAATTATAATTTGTAAATTGTATAAACACATCTACATATTTAGACCAAATTCCAGATATCTAATAGGAATAAATGCAATTTCACTCGGCTTGCCGAAATGCATACATATAATCTCCTCCCACACCTTCTAAAAATGATTGTTTTCCATTCATTTTCTCTCTAATATGGGCCCCTTAAATAGGGCACTTATTTATATTTACACTGGTAATAAAATATAATAAGAAAAAATATTTTTATTTTATAGAATTTTACTCTAAACATAATATGACATATAAGTGAATTATTTATAATTGAATTTTAAAAAAATATTCAAAATAACATTTTAATGACAAGCTACTATAGATTCATACTATTTTAGTTTAACATATAGGGTTTATAAAATATAACATATTGTTTATTAAACTAATAATCGTTTTGGATTGTATTATAATATTTATATTATTCTAATTAAAAAAGTATTTAATTTATTTTATCTTAAAGTATAAAATAATTTAACATTCTTTATACAATTATTCTTCCGTATTATGTGCTTTCACCAATTTTAGAAAGTTTAGTATCTTGAATTAAACTTTTGAGGAAAGGTCCAATATCTAACATGATAAAAAATAATTTAAAAAATATTCATTATACTTTAAGTGGTCATTTAAAAATAAAGAAAATATTTAACCTTTACTTTAAGTAAGCTACAATATGTTTTTCCTGGCAATATTTTATTAAACTTTAAATCATATTTTGAGCCCGTTTTTTTAAAGTTAAAAGTCTGATTTTACCAGAAATATATTCCATAATGTTTGGAATACCTACCTTATGAATTTCAGATTAATTTGCCATGAACTTTTAATATAATTTATATCAGTGTTTCCATAGATTTTTTATATAAAATATAAATGATTCAAAGGCTAACGGCAAGATTGTCTAAAATTTATGTTAGGTATTCTAAACAAGCTGGAATACATTTCCGGTTAAATTGTATTTTAAAATTTAACAAAAAAAGCCCTTTAAAAATGATTTAAAGTTAAAAAAAATTACACATTGTCGGAAAAAAAACATTTCATCTATCATATATACTTAATAATCTTTAGCAAAATAATATGTCATTCTGTTCCCTTTTATTATTTCTATTAGAGGTGGGCACGGGTCGTGAAATTAGGCGTGACCCATCATGTCACGGTGGGTCACAGCGTGAGTGTGAATAAATTTTAAATTCCAAGGCGTGACTGGGCGTGACGGGCCTTCCCAAAATTTTCCCCGGGCGTGATCGGGCGTGAACATAAATTTCCCGTGAATCACGTAAATTTTAATTTTTTAAATTGTGTTTTTATAAATATAAATTAGCAATTTTATAATTATATTATATATTTTCTTATTTAATTTAGTTCTTTTTTAAAAAAGAACAATTTATGAAAGCTAATAATCTTTCGCATTTTATAAACAACATCCGGTATTATTTATGTTTAGGTGTTTTTTGTCGCGAGACTTTATGCTAAATTTTGCTTAAACTTTATACAGAAAAGTCAGTTATATTTTATTTATAAAGATCTTCAATCTTTAAATGCAACAGAAGGTGAAGGATTTTACAAGCTAGGCCAAGAGATAAATGTTAACAAAATATAAAAGTTGTGAACCGGAAAACTCTCATGAATACTATAGGTCCAAAAATATACCATTTAATAAAATTTAAGATTAAAAGCATGATCAATAATAATTACTTGTCCATAATCACTGATATTTGGACGGATGACTATAAAAATCTAAGTTTTTTAACCATTATAGGACATATTATCATTAAGGATTTTAAATTAAAAATATTTGTTTTGGTCACAAGGGCAATGGATGAAAAAAACGTCAAAATTAAAGTAATCAATTCAATTATAGGAGAATATACAGAAGTAGAAAATACTTAAATAAATATGTTGTGAGTGATAACAGAGCAAATCTTATAAGTGCATTCAAAGATGACGAAACGCTTGCATGTATATGCCATATACTAAATAATATTATGCATTATATTTTTGACAATCGTTTATATGAAATAGCCATAAATATAAATGGTGTAAAAAAATAGTATACAATATTTCAAACAATCTACAGCTAATAGCAAACTAAGCCACACCCGTTGTAATAGCGAGAATAACTAGATGGAACTCTGTATATATCATGATACAGAGTTTCCTAAAATCATATTCTGAAATACAGGTGTACTTGTTTAGCAAGCAAGAATTAAATAGATTAGCCATAATTGATATCAGCATCATACGCGAGTTAGATAAATTTTTATCAATATTTAAAGAATGCTCGGATAATCTGAGAGCAGATTCTCGTCCCACAATAAATAAAGTTTGTCTAGGGAAACAAAAATTAATAAAATTTTGTCAACCTTCTGAACGTGATACAATAATAATCAAAACCTTAAAATACAGAACGAGATTTCGTTTAAAATATTATTATGCAGCCACTATAGTATCTAGATCCGAATTTCAAAAGACTTAAGTTTTTAATAAAAGAAGAAATAGATATATATAAAACAATCTTAAAAATGCTAAATGATATAAAATTAGATGATATGTATAAGTCGATGCCAACTACCATTTATAACTTTCCTAACTTATCCTAAACTCATAAAAAACCGTATATTCTAAATGATCAATACCAACTATCAATTTCCTAATTCATCCTACACTCATAAAAGACCGTATATTTCTAGATTGATGAAGCATCAACATCACCGATGAAAGCTGTGAGGATGAACTTAAAAGATTCATATAAGATAAATAACAAGACAATATTTTGAAGTTTTGGAAGCAGGAATATTCATTTCCTTTTTTGAGAAAATTATCGAGTAAAATTTTGTCAGCTGCAAGTTCGGCTTCTAGTGAAAGGTTATTTTCTGTAGCCAATCTCTTACTAGAGGAAAGGCGTACACAATTGAAATAAAAAAAGATGGACATTCTTCTTTTTCTAAATAAATTTCGATTTATAGATTGTATTTATTTTTGTTATTAATATATGAAATTAGAGAAATAAATAGAATGAATTCAAAAAAGTGTGAAATTATAGCAATAGTTTTGAAAAATTTAAAAACACCGTGAATTTTCGGGCGTGACGGGCGTGAATCAAAATATTGCTTGTCGTGAGCGGGCGGGTCGGGTCGAAAATTTTTTAGTGGTAAGCGTGAATGGGCGTGAATTTTTTTTATTGCCACCGTGAGCGGGCAGGCCGTGAATAAAAAATTAGGCCCGCGACCACCTCTAATTTCTATAATAGGATTTAATTTTTAAAAAAATTCTTATATTTTTTTCCCACAATTTTATGACAATTTTTTGGGGGAACGGATGAGCCACACCGAGAAAAAATTTCAAACATATTTTTGCATAAATTAGCATTTTAAAGTGCTGTAAACTTTACTTAAAAAAAACAATGCAACGCATTACCGTTGCTTGATACTTTATGGGGAATAAAAGGGACGCGTTTTATTGAAAAATACTAAATATAATATTAAAATTTACTTTTTATTTATTTTTTCCCCATAGATAATAAACATAAAATTATACAAAAATAACATATTATAAGATAAGTTTTTTTTGTAATAATTTTTTCATTATTTTTAAACAACTATTGATTTTCAAAAATATGATCAGATAAACAAGTCTTAGTGCTCAACATAGCATATGCTCTGCTGGTCACACTTTCATTTAGCGCTGAGATTAGGTGGGTGGAATTATATTTAATAAATAAAAACTTTATTAGAGAAATTTATTAAATATATTTAAAGAATGATCTCTGTTTTCCAAAAAACTTATTAATCTTCATAAGAATCTTCATTAAGATCATCAACATATATTTCTTTTATCTTGATCTGAATTCATATTCTGATCTAAATCAAGATAATTTTTAATAAAATTACAAATTCAAATCAATTTTATAACTCATGAAATCTTTTTATATCGAAATATTTTTTCAATTGAGTATCCAAAAAAAACAGCATCATTACCACTTCCTGCAGTCCCAATATTTTTAATTTTTCTTTTGGTGCCAGGAATCATGATATAACGAGATGCTAATTTTAGATGAATACTTCTGAATTCTCCTAGAGCTCTGACTGCTTCGTTATAAGCTAATACAATGGGATCTTTTTCATCATAACCATTTTCATCGACTTAAAATTTAATTTATAATTAGAATTTATAAATTTCAAGTTTTCATCAAATATTTTTTTTAACTAAATGTTCTAAGATTGGATTCTTCAGATAAATCTTCCAAAAACATCCGGTGTTCCAGTGGCATATATTCTCGTATGGCCATCAAGTATTTACTTCTTTCTTAAAATATTAATAATATTGATTAATATATAACAATAACATTTTTTATATAAACCGTTATCGTGTTTGATGCCTAAAATTTGATCATAGGATGGTATGATACTGGATTCAACAGCACTTGGTCCATATAGATTATAAGGAAATTCGGATATGCCATCCAAAATTATTCCGATCTTCTTTTCATTAGGCTTTGAATCACCAATTGTTCCCCAACTTTATTGTTACATATGATATGGTTATATATATAAAAAGGAAAGAGATTTTCAAATGGATGAACAAATATAATATATAGTTTACCCCATCATAAATGGTCTGACTTTTTCGTAGAATACATCCGGATCTACGTGTTTCATCATATCATTAATTGTGAAAGACATGACTCTCAAAGCTTTGCTTAAAGATTCAATGTTGGTAGTAAAAGTTTCCTTTGAACCCATACTTTCATTTATGGCCTTTTTGATTTGAATTAAGGGCTTTTTGTTTATTTTTATTTTCAATATTTTTTTAAGATCATCAAAGATGCTTAATTTTAAAAATCGAAAAATTTATGTAAAAATAAAAAAAGTTAAAAATTTTATTATATTCTTCATAAATACACGTTTAATCAACTCTCTAGTTTGCAGAAATATGCTTTAACTTAAAATAGGATGCCAGGTTTCTAAATAAAACAGCAAAATAGCAATTTATTTTTATAATTAAAGATTTTAAATCTCTGGGCAGTGGCGTTTCTATGATTTAATTTCGTGGTGGAGGGAAGGGAGGGTGTCCAAAAGATATATCAAATTATATGGCTAATAATAAGTAATGATCCCATTTATAAATTAAAATAAGACTAAAAAAATTGAAAGGAAATATCAATTAGCTACTTTGTTCTCCCTCTAAATACATTATTTCTTTGGGGAGTACCTTGATCCCACCTAACCTTTCGAGTGTTAAGCTATTTTCTTATACATTATTAGGACTGACAAAATATATAACAAAAAAGTGCAGATTCGTTTTTGGTTTTGAATTTTAAAAATCATTTGTTTTACTATGTTTTGAATGCCAATTGTTCTTTTTAATTAGACTGATCATTAGGAAGGGAGGGGGGGGATTTTTTTTAATGGCATATTTTTCTCAAAAAGAATAAACATATACCTTCAATCCATACTTAGCGAAATCAAATTCAGCCTGTAAGCTAATTAAAAAAAACCATTTATAATCATCGGAGTTTTCCATTTTAAAGATGAGTTCACAATTTGACATATGCAATGGGCTATGTTGTTCGTTAATTCTAAAAGAAATTTTTGATAAGTAAATGTTATAATAGAAACATCAAAAATTATTTTAACCTGTAATTAAATAAACAAGTATCAGAATAGGTTTGAATAGGTTTCATGCCAAGATGATATGAGATATCATATAGAGGAATGGCTAGATTTTTTGGAATATGCTAAAACAATACAAAAAAATGTTGTCTAGTTTAAAATTCTATAACAATATAATGTCGTTTTATGTGTATATAGATTCTTCATCCAATACAAGACCTATACTCTGTAAAATGTTCAATAAAATTTAATGAGATCTCAATAGACTTGTTACCTATATTAATACGTATCGAAATCGATACAAATTCTAAAAAGGTTCGCCAATACCTAAATAAATACATTTTCTCTAATACTGAAAATTTTATTTCCGATACATTTATCAATACATTTTTTAGTATCTTTGATTTGTCATGATTCACGAAATCTAAATTTGTAAAAAAGAACTATTGAGAACATAGGAAATGGTATTGTTTGTAAAATAACTCGGGTTAATTAATTTAATCAAATAAATAATAATTTACTTTAATAACTTAATAAATGTTTATATTTAAATTGAAATATTATGGGTATAAATATATTTTACATTTTAATTTATATGTATATTTAAATATTTTTAAATTTTACTAAAAAATAGAGAATAAACTATAATAAAGTATCAAAATGTATCATTTTTATTCGATATCGATATGTAAAATGCATTGGGCAACACTATCATATTAAAATGTTAAAATAATCGTTTTTACTGTTAGATATACAAAAATGTTATTAGATAAAATATCATCAATACAGTTCCCCTATACTTTGACAATGTTAGATTTCAATTATAAATATCATGAATCATAAAATAGGGTTTTATAAAAATTCCAATCAATTAAAGTATATATACTTCGGCATATCCATTTATTTGTAAATCCTCCCAAATTAATCCTTGAGCTAATGTTGTAAGGACAACTCTAGCTAAACGTAATTCTTTGTATGAGGAAAGAGTTCGAATATCGAATTGAGGTAACTTTTTTTTATATATTTAAAAATATTGAAATCAAATTTGGTCATACATAAATATATATGCTTGTCTTTACTTAGCGACACCACACCAATGACTATATTATGGCTTCTTAAAAACTTTATCTCCCATAAACACGAATTTTATATTTCAAATAAACAAAAAGGATACCCCTTAGCAAGGTGTTTCATGGTATGTCCTGACTTTTTATTTGATATTACTGATTTTTATAGTATAATTATCAATTTTGCACCCGTTTTGCCATTTTTTGTGACACCCTTAGGCAATGCCTAACTAATGTAAGCCGTAGGACGGTCTATTTATATCTATACTAAACTAAGTAAATAGCAAAAAAAATCTTAGAAAACAATCTTTGTTTTTTTACGATACCATGTAGCTAAAAATTTTTTAAAAAATTGGTGGCATTTTGCGTACAACATTATTATTCTTACACCTGAATTACTATTTATAATTGGAACAATCATTATGCTTTAAGAAACATGAATAATAATGTGGATGGATTGTGCAACTATACAGGATTGACAATTAAAATAATTTTGTAGAAACTAAAATATTAAGCGGATATAATGGTTAGGACTTAGGAGTATAGTTGGGTAATGGCTAAATGTCGAGTAATTAAGTTCATAATTCAATAACATTAAGGGGCATTAAGGGGTTTTAATTTATATTAGTTTATTTCAAATATTAACTGACTATAACGGCTAAAAATATTCTAAATACCCAATTATCTCGCATTTATATAATTTCTAACGATTTACCCAAACCCTTTCTATAAAATGAAACTCTTTGACATGACCAATAAATTCAGGCGCTTTTGATTATGTTAGTCAATATCTTCCTAAGCCATTTTTTTTTCACACGATCAATTATATATTAGTAATTCACTGTAAAATCCGAAGACACTTTAAATGTTATGATATTGTGCTGCCTACTTATTCACAGAGAATCATTTTAAATGTTATGATATTATATTGCCTACTTGTTGAGAGAGTATTATTTAAAATATTATACACTCCATTTTTAAATAACTCTTAATAAAGAATTAATATTTTTAAAAAAACTGTGTTTGTAAATATGCTAAGTAAATTGTATAAGTAACATTGGCGTAACCAAGGGAAGGGAAAGCGGGGATTTCTCTTTTTTGATGAATTTACAAGTTTGCTTTAATATTACTCCAAGTAGTGTTGTAAAACGGCTCGATTAATAAAATAACTCAATATTATATCCAGAAAAATATTATGCAAGTCTAAATATTTTGCTCATAGATGGCACATAGATTTGGACATGAGCGAAATCTCTAGGCTTAGACAATATTTTTCTGGTTAAAATAATGAGACAGCTATTTCTAAAAATAGGCTTAAATACGAGTCGCATGTAACAACACTAGATTTAAGCTAATAAAAAAAATTATCCTCTCTTGCCATACTTAAACCACGAAATAAAAAGAATGGGCAGCATACAATATTTTTTAAAAAAATCCTGTATAAATTAATAAATTTTTGAAATAATAACTATAATAATTGAAAAATAGTTTAATATATATTTATAACAGAGACCTGCTGACCCAGCCTGAAACCTGGCCATCCAAGCTGAACCTTAAAAATAAAAAAAATATTTTTCTTAAAATTAAATTATATCAATTAACTAAGCTGAAAAATTACACGATAGATTATTTAACATACATTCGTTTCCTATATTCTTAATTCCTCCTTAAAACTATTTATAGAATGCAAACATAACTATTTTAAATTTCCATATTTTAAAAATCCGGTCGTTCATAAAATAGCAATATTTTAAAATCCAGCTGATTTATAATAGGATTGATAAATGAGATTCTTTGGTTCACAGTCATTTGCCATTTATCGATCATTATTTGACGAGCGATTTATTTATTATTATATGCTACATACCCTCTCAATTATGTTATTTAGCGTCTTCTTATTCAAAATGTCCGATAAGTTTTCAGCCACACCCATCCATTCTTCACAACCATGTATTCTTGTCTTATATATATAATTATGATAATTTTTGTTTAATAGAACTAATGTTTATGACATATATAGAAATAAATTAAGAATTCTTAATTCATCTAAAATTTGTATGAAAAAAAAATTGGTTAGAAAAAGATGGTTAGTTTATTCAAAATTCTTATATATATTTATGTAATATTGGGATCAAAGACCTTCTTGAGCCTTAATTTTTTGAGTAGCCCCCTCCTCTTCCAGACTAATAAGAAATTTTTTTGGCTCAGGCCAGACTCGGCCTATATTTAACATGAAATATTCCCAAGCCCATAATAAGTATTAAAAAATTTTCCCAAGCCTATATCCAAAAATTTAATTGATTGTTAGAAATAAAATTGCAATATTTTTTTAAAATTAGCAACTGTTTTAAATAAGCTAAATTTAATTAAAATTATTTAGAACCAACCCATTAAATTAAATTTCCAAAAACCCAAGCCCGCTAAAATATTAGGCCCATTCCCGGCCATGAAGGTCCCTGAATGGGATACGAAATTCATTGGGATGAATCGCTCATTTTAAAATCACCGAAGGGCAATTTTTTAAGTTTAAAAAATTGAATTGAATAAGAAGAAATGAATTTCAGATGTGTAAGAGAGATCAATTATTTCAGACAATTTTGAAGTGAACAGAATTACTATTATTATATATATTTTTTCATAAATGTAAAAATACATAAAAGTTTACTGCAAAATTGCTTGAAATTCATAGTTTGTAATATCCTACTCGATGGAATACATTTTTGAGCAAACCTGATAGTTCAAATTTAAAAATTGACCTCAATAAATGATTTAAAATCGAGAGACTTCGATACCCCATGAAATATGACATTTATATTATATTGGATTGGCTATTATAAATTATGTTCGTAAGCTTAGGATGCTAAGAGCCACAATGACAATTAAATTTCCTATATTAATATCCTTAATACAGTGTATATGTTAACTACAATATTTAAATCAAGTTTAATGATATAATCTACAGGGTTCCCCATATATCTGAGAGGAAAGTTTTTAACCTTCAAGTTATTTATAGTTTAGAAGCTTATTTGTACTACTAGGTTTATCAATTGCCTGCAGACTTATAGGACTGCACAGTTAGCCTTGTATTGACACATTGAATTTTTATAATGAATTATAAACCGCAAGTATCCAAGTTATGGTTAAAAAAACCCAAAAGAGTTAAAAGTTAATTTTATTTACCAATGGATTCTCCATAGCGAAACCGGTTAATTCCGATATTTTATAGTAATTCAAATGTTTCATTTGTCGTATATGGAGAAAGAAATTCTGGTAGAAACTCTCTCAAATTGAGGATTAGTGCGTTATTTTATGCTAAGATCACTAAAACAAAATATAAAAAAAACATTTTTTTTTATAAAAAATAGAAATTATATTTTTCTATAGTAAATATTTAAGATATAAATTTAATAATGTGACAACTGACAAACAAATAAACTTTTTTTTATATTTTTAAAAAAATATTTCATCATTTTTTTTGAAATGTCAAAATAAAATAAAGATTCTGCGAAAAATATGGTATAAATTATGCATTAAATAGGCTATTTTTTACAAACAAATCGAAGCAAAAAAGTATACACCCCCCCCCCTTCCCATTTTTTATATGTTGAAATACTCAAAATATTATTGTTACATAAAAACAATATAAAAGAGTTATCCATATATTTTTTTTTCATATTGAGAATGAGAATACTATTTGTATAAAAATTGTTATGATACAGTGTTATGAAGTTTAATTTTAAAATATTTCCATATTATTTAATTCTTTTTTAAATAGTTTGTTATATTTGAAAAAAGTAATTATATCTTATACCCTAAAAAAAAAAATATTTTATCATTATCAACATTTTAATTTATAAATACCTGCATAAAATTAGGCAACTTTATACCTATCACAACTATTACATCATTTGTGTTTAGATAAACATGTTTTTTTAAGACAATATTATTTTAAATTTGTTATGTTTGAAGAAGTTAATGACATCTTCTACCCTATTTTTATTTTATCATTATCAACATTTTGTTTTTAAATGTCTGCATAAAATTAGGCGACTTTATACCTATACTTATAGTTACTCTGATATAGTAATGTAGAAAGTGTAATTCTGTCGATTTATTGCGTAGTTATCTCATGCTAGGCTTCTCATGTTCCATCAATAAAGCTAAAAAAAAATGAGGAGGAAAATAAAATTCTCATACTTTTCACTTATTAGTCGTTTTTTGAAAACCATTTGCGTGGATAATGATGCCTAAAAAAGGTTATATATATATATACTTATACCCTACCAGAACTCTCAGGATAGGTTATAATATTATTTAAGACAACTTTATAATCCAAATATTTACAGTCAAGTGTTATGTAAGGATCACTTTTAACCATGCATCAGCTTAGATCCATAAAAATACCACCTTTTAATTTAAAAGTTTTCTTAATTAGCATTAGCAGCTATCATTATATTATTTGAAATTAAGAATTTGACTTGTGTCAGAACTAAAACCTCAAAGCTCTCCTTTTTCAGAACCCTAGATACGAACTGAACTAAATATTATTTATCTTTCTTACCGGCTTCACACAAAAGATAGGATATAGGAACACAAGAAAAACTAATATGTATTTTTGTTTTCAAAAATATTTTGATGAAAAAAAAATTGTCTCGAAAATTTATAAAATGATTATTTTGTTTTGCTCTTAAAAAATTGAATAAGATGAATTATAGCAAAAAATATACGACTATTTCTAAACTTTTTATTATTGTTATGGTAGGTAAATAATACTATTTACAATACATTTAGTAAAAGAATCTAAGTCATGGCGAATTTATTAACAATATATAATAAAAATTTAAAAAATTAAAACAGAACAAGGTCTAAAAAAAAATTTTTTTTTTTAAAAAACAAACACGGACCGAAAAATTATTTTATTTGAATCGTGATTGAAAATTAAGCAATAAAATTTTTATGTCCTATTCTACAACGCAATGACTTGACAAACACTGTTACATCATGAAGACTCAACATTTTTTGATATATTTCCTAAAAGTAACCATGTATTATGGGTTTTCTAAACTATTCTTCATCCAAACCTTGGACAAAAATAGCCCAATTTTAGGAAAAATTTTAATTAAAATACTTTAAAAAAATTGGGGTATTTTTGTCCAATATCTTTTTGCCCGAGGTATTTTTGTCCATTAAATTTATGTCAGTGATTCAAGGAAAATAACCATTTAAAAAATTGTTAAAAATAAGTATTTATGTATTAATTATCGAATGCCCAATTTACACTAATAAATAAATATAGAAAGCATAATATTTAAAATTTTGATCACAAACGTAATTGATGGCTCACCTAGAACCCGGTCTGAGCCTACTCTGAAATTGTTTCCGTTAAATTTGGAACGTTCGTTTAATATTCAATTTGAATTCCGGAGTAAGATTGTATCCTCGTAAAAATAAAAAAAGTTAAAAATCCCTGATATATATTATAGAAGAAGAAATCATAATTTCTAATGTAAAAGAAGAGACAACCCGGTAATATGGCAATTATGACTAATGAGAAAATGTGCCAAGTAGAACATTTGTTCAAAATGGGGAGTATTTTTATTAACAAAAATTTAATGTTTTTAGGCAGAATATTTAAATAATTTTGGGCAGTAACTTTGTCGAAATGAGTGGTATCAAAAATAAACTGAAAGATCCTTTTTTTTAAATATTTTTTAATATAATAAATATTTCATTTCTTTTTCAAATTCCAATATGAATTTGATGCAAATGCAAAGGTTTTACAGATTATTTGGATATTATAAATTGTCAATTTTTTTTATAATCTCACTAGTCCTAAAAAAATTTAAAAAATTTTAGACGTTCAAATCTAAGATTTTAGAATTGTTTTTATAGAATATTTTAAAAAATTGTTTTATAATATTATGATATTTGATCCACAAGGTAGCATTCTTTTAAAATATATTATAATATTAAAAAGTCAATTCTTCGAGATTAGTCACCAACCACCAATTTGATTAAACCATAAAATTATATTATCCCTACTCCTATGTTGAATACCCGTTTTTCTCCTAATACACCCCCCCCCCCCTGCACAATTACAATTACAAACATTTAGAGAATATATTAATGCATACCTTGTGAAATAAATATGATTAATTTTTCTTATTCTTATAATTAATAGATTATATTATAAGAAAATAAATCAACAAATCGAATAAAGTATATATATATATATATAATTATTTTACTACAGATTTGCAGTTTACTTAAGTATTTCGCAATCAGTCAAACCTTTCCGATATTTTAAATCAAAAATTTACTGAAAGTCTATAAAATAACTTAAAAATTAAGTAATAACTTGTCAAAATTAAAACCCTTTTAAAATTATTATTAAACTGCCCATTTATTTTAAAAACTACCCAAGTCAATAAAAAAACTTAAAAATTAATTAATTACTTGTCAAAAATTTAAAATCCCTATCAAATAATTTTTCTACTTCCCATTTAAATTAAATATGGTCTAAACTAGGGGAGACCGGGGTAACAATGCTAACTCGAATAACTTTTTAACCCTTGAGCATAAAGACATTAAATTTGGTATGAAGAATATTTTTATATCCAATTTTTACCTATGTTCATCTTATGAAAATCTTTCTTGGTTTGGCATATTTTGCCAAAAACCCGTTTTTACCCATTTATATTATGGCTCAGAATTTAAATATTTGTATACATGTTCCTTAAAGCCATAAGTATAAAATAAATTTATCGGGAGTTTATATCTTAACCAGAAGTCACGCAATAACGATTTGTACAATATATATTACTTTAAAACGGCTAAAATTTAAGTTATAAATTTTTTTAAATATTTACGTCTACACCATATAAAAAGATACTTTTGAGCAAAAAGGAACATTAATAAATGGTTTGTGTGTTATTTGGAATAAAATTTTAATAGTCGCAAAGGGGAAGAATATTTGAAAAGTACGATGGCCTAAAATGGGCACACTCAAAATGGGCTATTTTTTATATAAATTTTTACATTGCGTATTGTATTGCTTAGTTTATACTAAAAGTGATAAATAGAGATCAAAATAGCAATATTTTGTTCAATTTTATTTTACCACTTTACTCAGATGCTTAACCACTTTACTCTGAATATGGGATAAAATGGCGAAAATGGCACACTTCACATAATTAATCACAGCTCCTAAAGTATTATAGGTAGAGAGCTACACTTATTTTTATGTAAATTATTAAAAGAACTAACCCATTCGATTTTTTTCTGAGGTATACTCGTTCTTATTATTCTTAAAGAATAAAGGGTTCATTCATTTGTGCAAATGAATATAGTGGTTAAAATATAATAATTTCAATATATTAGGAAAAACTCAGATTTGTAAGGACCGCTTAATTAATCAAAAAGTTTTCATTTATCTGACTAAAAAAAATAACCTAATTTATAATATTTTTCAACTGATCTTATATTAATAATAAAACGATGGTCTTGGTACGAGTATAGTTGGATAATAGCCGATTTTTTTGGCTACGGCTAAGCTTTAGCCGATTTTTTTTGGCTAAAGCTAAGCCTTAGCTAATTTTTTTGGCCAAGGCTAGGCCTGAGCCGATTTAATTCTGATCGGCTAATTAATATCATTTCTATATATTTATTTTATTTTTATACTTATTGAATAATATTTTATTATTATCAAAATATAAAAATTGTATAATTTGATATTTTTTATTTATATTAAATTATATTTGAAGTTAAATATGATTATGTTATGAAAATTGATGTCATGTTGCTATTGTTTTGTTACATTTTACTAATGAATTCTTCGCCCAAAATTTTAAGCTAAAAAAATCTTTGACGTTCAAAAAGATTTTTGAGCATATATTTTGATTTGATCAGAATTTTAAATCTTCTTTGAAGGAAATCTTTTTTGAGGAATTCTTTTGTGATTTTTATAAAACAATCTTTGAGGAGAAATCTTTTATATTTTTTGATCATTTCTGCAAAATTATCTCTTTTTGTAATGTATATTAAAGGGGCTTTTTCTATATAATTTTTTTAAAATATATTTATATAATTTTAAAATGACAATTGTCATATTCGTTATTTTTTAACATTTTTGAAATATTTTGAAGCAAAAAGTAACAAACATATATTGAAAAGATGTTAAATTATAAATTCGATGAAGATGTTAAATTATAAATTCAATGAATATGTTTTTTGGAAAAATGACAGTTGTCATAATCGGTAACACTAAAATTGTTTTGACACATATAGGCAAAAATATGTATTGTTAACATGTTAAATTA